CCGGGCGCCGGGCGCTCGTGGCTGGACTCACCTGCCGCGCAACGTCTCGGCGGCCTCGGCTTCCGCCTCCTCTCTGAGCCTGCTGCTTGCAGCCGGAATCGCCTTCGTCCCGCCCCCAGCGGAGTGCGCCCCACACCCCAGCGCGTGCGCAGAGTCTACCACCTCCCGCAGCCGGCAGCTGCGGGCCGGGGGCGCGGCTGGGGGCGTGGCCGGAGCGGAGAGGCTGAACCCGCTAGAGGGGCGGCTGAGTAGATGGCGGTGGCGCGAGGTTTCCTTTAGTCTGCTGGAATAACGTTCTATTTGCTCTCCTGCCTGCTGCGATGCAGAGACACCATGGCTCAGATCTAGCCCTGGGCAAAGGATGTGTATACTCAAAATAAGCAGTTACGACCTCGCGTGTCCCTCAGTGATGCGAAGTGTGGGGAAATTGTCCTGCAGGGGCTGACATTTGCAGCAGGGCATCGTTCAGAAAAGAGACATTTAAACAGAATCTTACACGGTGACAAGAGAAATTAGAGTACGGCCTTTGAGGTTGAAGCGTGGGTGTGTTTGGGTTGTGGGAAATGTTGTCACAGCAGATAGGGTACAGGAAGCCAGTACGTGGTAAGAGGGTGAAAGAGAGAGGTGCCTAGGTCCTTTATGGAGAAAGGTCCTGCCCTGGGCAGCCACGTTGAGTCGCTTGCAGTTGGTTCTATTAATAAGGAGACAGAAGGGAAATTGGGGAAATTGGAGAGATTTTTTGGAACTGGATCAAGAGTTACATTGTTCAGAGTCAGTAAGGCCCTTTTCATTTTCTTTTCCTCTCATTCCCACTCCACACTCCTATTCCTGTATCTCCATAAGCTCCTCTTGTGGGTTTAAGATAGGTTGCAGTACATCCATGTATCTCAAAAGATGTTTCTGTTGTATGTGCCTATTTTAATATAAATGAATGGTATTGTGATAAAAGCTCATTCTGTTTCTTGTTTTTCCCTCAAAGTAGCCTTAGACATCTAACCAAGTGGTTCTACACCCCAGGAATTCATCAACTTTTATGTCTAGACATTTACTTACCATTTCTTCAACTAATGCAGTTAGGTTGCCACAGTTCCTTGCAGCCACAATGATGCTGGAATGGGTATTTGACATGTCCTTTATAGGCTGTAGAAAGAAGTGGGGGGCCAGCAGGTGGCATAGCGCTTGTCTCCCACTTAGCTGACAGTATTAGGAGTCCTGGACCCAGCAGCTTGAAACTCAAGCCAGGTGCATGTGCATGTGTGCCCAAAATCCTAAGAGGAGAATGGAGGAGCAGGGTGGCCATCCCCTTGGGGGTGATTTCTCACTTTCTCTGTCTCTCCTGTGTACGTAAACTCACTATAGCAAAACCTCTTGAAAGAAGAAAGGAAGGAAGGGAGGGAGGGAATTGCTGGGTCCTGTAGTGTATGGTGTTTAGTTTCCTTCCTCACAGTTGCCCTCCAGAATGACCTTGCCGGTTGACACTCCCTCTAATGGCACCTAAAGGTAAGGAAGCTTCCCATTTCCCCACTTTTCATGCTAACATTTGGTATTATCTAATGTACTCATTTTAGCCACCTGATATCAGTAAAGTAGTATTAAATCGTAATTTGTTCATAATTTTTATTTGTATTTCTTTAATTATTGGATGTTAACCATTTTTCAATACACCAAAAACTATTGAGATTATTTTTCCTTGCCAAATTTTCTGCTAGATTTACTGTTAATCTTTTAAATGAATTGAAGGAGTTTCTTACATATTCCCAATATTAATCCCTTGTCAGTTTGGGACACTGCAAATATCTCTCCCAATCTTCGGTGCATCCTATTAGCTTGGACCTTGCTACCCTGCAATAAAGGAGGTATCCTTAATTTTGATGCAGCTGAATGCATTAAATTTTAGTCTTATGGGAGCATGCGTTTTGGGTCTTATTTCAGACTATTTTCCCACCCACCGTCACAAAATATTCTCCTGCAATTTTCCCTACTTGGCTTCATACTTTTGCCTATCACAGTTAGGTCTTAATCCGTCTGGAGTACACCTCCTGCAGGGAGTGTAAGTAGGAATGTGATATTATTTTCTCTACATCATGAGCCAGTTTCTCAGCAGCGCCCACCAAACAATCCATCTTTTCCCTGCCAATGTGAGCTGGCGTCTCTAGCATATGCCAAGTCCCCATAGACACACATGTCTGTTTCTGGGCTCTCGTTGCTGTTCTATTGATCTCGAGCTGTTTCTGTGCCAGTGCAAGGCTGTGCTGATCGCGTTGTGATGGCTTAGTGACAGGTCCTGATAGTTACTGGAGTGAATTTCCCCACTCTTTGCTTTTTATTTTATTTTTAATATTGCCTTTAAAGTGAAAATAGTCCATGGTGATCCCCATAGCTGAAATTTGGGTTTTCTAGTCCCAACTCTTTGAGGGAAGAGTGAAGAGAAAATGGAAGGGGTCAGAAACACAATGGGATGAGGATGGAAATGAGGCGGAGATATGGCGAGGTGGTTTTCTTGAGAAAATACCTAGCAGCTTTGTGCTAAGAATTCATTCTGTTTCTCTTTTTTCCCTCAACATAATATCTTCGATATCTCTCCATGTGGCTCTATACATGGGCACATGGACTTTGGAGTTCAACTGCCGTGGTCCGAATTCAGACTCTGCTACCTCCTACCTTCAGCAAGCTACTTAAGCTCTCTATCCATCGCCTTACTCATCTCTAAAATAGAAATGATAGTTGTACCACCACAAAGTCTTGTGAGAATTAAATGAGACAATATACCTACAATGCTTATTATAAACAGAATACATTCATTCTGATCACTAATAGTATACGATGTGTGTCTAACACATTTTACCTATTGATTCTTCAAATAAAGAAGAGTCAGGTCCTTTTCTGCCTACCTCTAAAATTCTCCTTTACCCCTTGACTTATAACCTATACTCAACAATATTTACTAATTTGACTCTGTTCCAACTAAGAAGTATTATCTCACATTTTGAAACAATGTCATCTGAGACTTGGGGATATTCTTAGTGGGCAATTGATTGGGTACACAGAGATTGCTTTGATGTTGGCTGTTACAGGGTAGGAGTTTGAGGAAGAGCAGGTCAGTTTTAAGGCTGGAATCTGTAACTTTTCTAATTACCACCCTGTGATGGAAGTAGTCTCCCCTACCCTGGCTACCAGAAAACCTGAGTCCCAGTCCTGGCTCTGCCATTGACATGTGGAGAGAGATTCTTGCAGTCCTGTTTTCCTTATCTGGACAGCTTTTAGATGGATCTTCTCAATGTGCTTTCCCCTCACAGCAGCGCTGTGAAGTGCACAAAGCTGCATCATTATTCCAGTCTTACAGATAATGGAACTGAGGCTCAGAGAAGTTGTATGACTTAGGCATGAACAAAGCT